CAGCTTTCCTGTTCCTCTGATGCTGCCTGGCCTGCTGTGTTCCCCCAACTCCACACTTTGTTATCTCTTATTGCTTGTTAACAGCCTTGCTAACTGCAGATTTTACTTCATTGATTTGTGACTCTCTATCTTACTGTCCATTGTGAGCAAACTGGACACTGAGAAAACCCAACCTGAAAATCTGAATAACAACTTGAGCTCGCTGCTTGCTCCAAAGGGCCTCTATTTGGGACAAAAGGCACCAACACCTCAGGGTACAGTCCATGGACACCAGCCACACACATCCAATATCCATGGACATTGGCATCTGACTTATGCCAGCCTCTGAGAAACATAATGGCACATCTCCAATTCACTTACAATATGCTTCTATACTTACATGCTGCACCTCAGAATGCAATGGCAACTATCATTGTAACGCTGCAGCAAGGACACTGGTGCTCAGCGACACAAACGCGGCTCATGAATAAGATCAGGCTAAATACCTGGGTGGTCCATGTTCTCTCTTTGTGCTCACTCCCTTTGAGATTAATGGATGCTCAGAGCATCCCTGCCTTGCCTTGACTTTTGGTACCTTGCTCCCCTCAGTCAGAGATACCAGGCTCACAGTAATTTTCTTTTCTTTATTCATTCACGCGATGAGGGTGTCGCCAGCTAGGCTGCATTTATTGCCCATCCCTAATTGCCCTGAGGGCAGTTATGAGCCAACCACATTGCTGTGGGTCTGGAGTCACATGTAGGCCAGACCGGGTAAGGATGGCAGTTTCCTTCACTAAAGGATATTAGTGAACCAGATGGGTTTAATCTGACAATCAATAATGGATTCATGGTCATCATTAGACTCTTAATTCCAGATACGTATTGAATTCAAATTCCACCATCTGCCATAGCGGGATTCGAACCCAGGTCCCTAGAACATTATCTGGGTCTCTGGATTAACAGTCCAGCGATAATACCACTAGGCCATCACCTCCCCTGTACTGCCTTGCCATTTAGTACAAACACACAGCCCAGAAGCTTTTTGTGGTTGTCAGCAGTCCTCAGTCAAGTCAGAGACCCCCTTTGCTCAGAGGATCCTGGCACAGTAAGTCAAAAGCAGGCTCCAATACCAAGCCAGGAGCTTGGAAATGCTCAGTTATTTGGCACAGTCAGAATCAGGATCCTCTCCTCATAAATGCTGTGGAACTGAATGCTGGACAGCCTTTCACCCTTCTTGACTTTTTCTGCCTTATCGGGTACAGCTTTCCTCCTGGAATGAGAGACAGTCTGGGATCACAGGAGAAGAAAGAGAGTGGCACAACTATTACTTTTGCTCCAGGCAGAAGGTGCCCCAATCAAGTAAGTAGCCAGCGCAGAGGGGATGTCATGTTAGCAGTGTCACGAGTTGGGATGGGTGACGGCAGTTGAGGGAAGATGTTGCAAGTAATAGTGAGAGTGGTACAACATGAACTATGAAGGGAAGTGGAAATAGTAGCAGAGATAGAGTGAGTGTGAGGAGCAGAAAGAAGACAGTGGCACAAACACTGGTGGAGTGGACAATGTCATTAACTTCCGGACTCCTCATGCTGAGACTGTATTAACCCAAGTGACAACCACGGATCAAACTGGCATGGTCTGGTGGTGTGAGCTCCTCTTACTCTTAGGGAACAACGCCCACCTTGTTCATCAGGATCAACGGGTTCCTGCCTGCAAAGCGAGGTTGTGAATTGTCTCTTCTCTGCCATGTCCAGGGCAAATGTCAGGAAACATGCAGAGCAGCTCTGAACTAACAGTGCTTTAAAAGTGACAATGGTGCCAAGGATGCCGGTCAATTCTGGCATATCCGGTCAATGTTGAGCTGTTCCAGTATGACAATTGGTAGAATAGGTCTCGAATTGGGTGACGTTGCTGCTTTAGGGACTGTGGTGGGAGATCTTACTCAGCCTCAGAGAGAAAACCTCCATGAAACTCCATGAAACCGACATTTAGCCAAAACAATGTAAGATTCCGCCCTGTGAAAGTCCCAGAGAGATGGTGAGAATGTTGAGTTGTAAATGGCTGTACTTTAATCTATTTTCAAGGTGTACGAGAGTTGGGTTCTCAAGGATAGGTTAATTAACATTTCCATTTAGATACAAGGCCCATATGATACAATTTGCCACAGAGATGACCATGAGACCATTAGTGGAATTAGGTTATTCAGCCCATCAAATCTACTCCTCCATTCGATCACAGCTGATATGTTGCTCAACCCCATTCTTCTGCCTTCTCCCTGTAATCCTTGATTGTCTTAACAATCAAGAACCTATCTATCTCTGTCTTAAATACACTCAATGACTTGGCCTCCACAGCAATGAGTTCCATGGATTCAGCAGCCTCTGGCTGAAAAAATTCCTCCTCATTTCAGTTTTAAAAGGTCGTCCTTTTGCTCTGAGGCTGTGTCCTTGAGCCCTGGTCTCTCCTACTAGTAGAACCATCTTCTCCATGTCCACTCTATTCATGCCTCTCAGTATTCTGCAAGTTTCAATCAGATCCCACCCCCATCTTTCTTAACTGCATCTAGTATGCACCCACAGTCCTCAACTGCTCCTCATATGACAAGCTTTTCATCCATGGGATCATTGTTGTAAATCTGCTCTGGACTTCCTCAAATGCAAGGACATTCTTGCTCAGATATGGGGCCCAAAACTGCTCATAACATTCCAAACATGTTCTGACCAGAGACTTATACAGCCTCAGTAATACATTTCTGCTCTTGTATTATAGCCTTTTTGAAATGAATGCTAACATTGCATTTGCCCTCCTAGCCGCAAAATGAAACTGCACACTGTGAACTAGAACTCCCAAGTCCCTTTGTGCTTCAGATTTCTGAAGGCTTTTCCCATTCAGAATATAGTCTATGCTTCTATTCCTCCCACAAAGTGCATAACCTCACCCTTTCCCACATTGTTTTCCGTCTGCCACTTCTTTGCCCACTCTCCCAACCTGTCCAAGTCCTTCTGCAGCCGCTGCACTTCCTCAACACTACCTATCCCTCTGCCTATCTTTGTGTCATCTACGAACTTAGCAACAATACCCTCAGTTCCTTTGTCCAGATTGTTGATGAATAACATGAATAGTTGTGTTCCTGACACTATCCACTGCAGATCTCCACTTGTCACTGGCTGCCATCCTGAAGAAGACTCCTTTACATCCACTCTCTGCCTTTTGCCAGTCAGCCAATCCTCTATGCGTGCCCCTAACACCATGGCTCTTATTGTATTTAGCAGCTTCCTCTGTGACACCATGTCAAAGACCTTCTAGAAGCCAGCTCAAAGATCAGGCAACATAGAATATCAAGGAATGTCACAGAGGTTTTTCTTTTTGGTCTGCCTGGGGTCTTGCTGAATGGGAGCAGTTAGGAAGCAAAACGTTTCTATGATTTGCTGTCGAAAAATGCAATTGGGAGGTCATGCTTGGATTATGAAGAACAAATTTGTGGAGAGTTAAAATGAGACTCGAAGAGTAACCTATGTTGAGTTACAGTGAAAGCTTCCTGAGAAAGAAAACCTCACTGTGAAAGACAGTCCTAAGATTGCATGTCACCAGACAAGAAAGCAAAGTAAAAACATAAATAAACCCTCAGGAACTAATAATCACTTTAGATTGATTCTGGGAAAATCATATGTTTTCACAAGGGGCAGTAAAATATACCTTTTCTCAGCTGGGCTAAAAATAGGGGGTTTTAAATATAAGTTTAAATTTCAGGTGCACTTGTCAGTCTATTGTTAGTGCACACAGTTTAAGATGTGATATCAGGACTTGTCATTCGTTCAGTGATTAACTAGAAGATCATATGTCTTTGTTAAAAATTATTGGTTTCTATGAGAATTGTAATGATTGAAATATCATCTACGCATTGCAGAAAAAATGTTATTCTTCTTCCTGTACACATGATGCCATTCCCAGTCAAAAGGATAGAGAAAACAAAAACAGCTGGCTGTGTTGTCTCATTGTAGCTTTTGCCTGTGTGACTTGCATGTAGATTTGAAAGCTTCTCAATGATTTTGTTAGTGGGTGCTTTACCACAACCTTTAGTCAGTTTAAATACTGATTTATTATTGCATAGATTCTTGTAAAACAAAATCACATTGCTTAATATTAAATGAAAATAAATCTAATTCTAAAACTGTATTGAAATAAATTAAATGTTTTATTTACGGCTCCTACATTTTTTTCCCCTTTATCTTCATTTTGTTTTGTTTGATTTAGCAAACGTACCTATAGGATCTACCCACACTGCCATGGTATCCTGGGGAATATCAACTTTCACCTTCTCCAATGCAGGATCTTTAATGGAGACATCATGATGAACAATCCGAGCTAATAGTTTGGCTGCTATCATATTACCATCCAACACTTTGCTCAACAGCTCTGCAGTTTCTGTCTCTGTTGCACAGACTTCAACTTTGATCTTCTCTCCTTTAATAGAAATAAAGCTACAGTTAGTGTTTAGCATAACCTGGAGTTTTCAGCTCGTTATTCTTCTATATTTTGAAGCTCTATTTGGGTTGAAACATACTAAAAATAGAAGCCATGCAATGCAGCAAAAGAAACAACACTAAAGCAGAAGTCCTTGCATCATGCAAATACAACTTAACCACGATAACCTGAAGGGCAAATTAAACACACACTTGAAGGATCCTTAATTGAGAAAGAAGTGCTCAGTGATGGACAGTCTAATTACCAAACAGAACAGCACATCAAAGCTTATGAATTCATAAGACGAAAAGCAATGGCAGTCCCACAGCGTAGAAGAAATATTAGCAACAAATCAAGTGTGATAATACACTAACAAATAGTGTGTGAACAATGTCGATTTACATCAACTAGTGTAAATCACAAGATATTCTTTAGTTCAGTGGTATACTATGTATTTGCTTGGTTTGTGATAACACTCTTGCCTCTAAGTCAGAAGATATGGCTCCAACCGCCATTTCAGGACTGGGCACACGCTTCAGTGTAGAGATGAGGGAGTGCTGTGTTAGCAATAATCTTTTGGAGGAGGTGGTCCCATTTGCGGATCCTTACAGCCATAAAACATCCCATGTTAAAGTACAGATGGAACAAATGTAAACTGGTTAAAAAAATTACAGTGGATTGTAAAAGCTTCCAGTTATGTAAAAAACAGCTAAAATAAATGTGGGTCCATTACAGAGGAGAATCTATAATGGAGAATTCAGGAAAGGCAGAGAAGCTAATTGATTACATTGTATCAGTCTTCACAAGAAATCTTCAACTAGAGATCCAAGGGATTAGAGAGAATGAGGAATTGAAAGAATTGAATATTTGTAAAATTTGAAGAAATTATTTGGAATATAGATTGAAAAGTCCCAAGGACCTGATATTCTACTTTATAGAGTGTTGAAAGAGGTAGCTATGGAAATAGTGAATGCATTGGTGATCATCTTTCAACATGCTATAGATTCTGGAAAAGTACCAATACATTGGAAAGTAGCCAATGTCACACCACTATTTCAGAAGGGAGAGAAAGAGAAAATAAGGAACTACAGACCTGCTAGCTTTGAATCAGTAGAAGGGAAAATGCTAGAATATATTATAAAAGATAGAATAAATGGACAAACACAGAGAATGCTAGAAAAACTCAGCAGATTTGGTAGCATCTGTGGAGAGAAAAAAAGATTTAATGTTTTGAGTTTGTTATGACTTCTTCAGAGCTGAAAGGTTTTGGAAAATAGGTTTTTTAAATATATTTTTACAGAGGGACAGGAGGAGCAAATAGCAGATGGTATAGAGACCCAGTGCAAAAGACAAAGGGGAGAAAAATGATACAAGATTAAAAAGGGGAGCGCAAGGGAAAGAATTGGAACTTGTTACTAAGAGCAAAGTAAACAAGACACAATCATAACATGGCTGTGGCGGGGGTGGGGGAGCAGTTTGAGAGAATGTAAGAAAAATGGAAAAAAGACATAAAGTGGTCAGTTTCTGAGGTTATTGAATTCAATGTTGAAACCTTGAGGCTGTAAAGTGTTTCAGCAGAAAATGTTGTTTCTTGAGCTTGTGTTGTGCTTCAGTGGAACATTGCAGCAAGCCAACGATGGAAGTGTTAGCATTATAGTGAAGTGGCTTTTTAAAATGGAAAGCAACTGAGAGGTTGGGGACATTCTTACACACAGAATGGGGAGGTGATCTGCAAATCAGTCACCCAGTCTTTATTTGGTCTTTTCAATGCAAAGGAGACTGCAATGTGAATAGCAAAAGTAGACTAGATTGAAATAACTGGACTGAAATGACAAATAAAATGGTGCTTCACCTGGAAGGTAAGTTTCAGGCCTTGGACAGTAAGGAGGGAGAAGATGAAAGGGCAAGTGTTACATCTTTCGTGATTTCATGGGAAGATGCCATGAAGAAGTGAGGAGACATTAGGAGTCATGGAGGAGTGGACAGGGTGTCACAAAGGGTATAGTCTCTGTTAAATACTTAGAGTGGAGTAGATAGGAGATGTGTTTGGTGGTGGCATCCTGCTGGTGGCAGAAGATGATACTGTGAGTGTGAGACCAGTAGGCTGGAAAGGAAGAACACGAGTAACCTTTGTTTCTTCTCGGAAGGAGGGGAAGGGGTGAGGGTAGAAGTTTGGGTGATGAGTTGAACACGACTGAAGGTCCTGTTGACCACAGTGGAGGGGGTAATCCTCAATTGAGGAAACAGGAATCATATGGGAGGCAGCCTGGTGGAAGGTGGCTTCATCAAAACTCTCGCAACGGAGACAGAGAAACTAGGAGATTGGAAGGGAATCCTTGCAGGAAGTAGGAGGTATAGTTGAGGTAACTATGAGGTTCAGTGGGCTTGTAATGGATATAGGTGGACAGCCTCAGAAAGAGTGAAGCCAAGGAAAGAGAGCGAAGAGACAGAGATGGACCAAGTGAAGATGGAAGCATAACTGATTAGTTTTTCCAATTCTGAACAAGAGCAGTAAGGAGCACCAAAGCCATCATTGACATATCAGAGAAAGATTTGTGGGTGGGGGCCTGAGAAGGCCTAGGACAAGAAATATTCCATATACCCACAAAGAGACAGTAATAGCTGGGACCCACGTGTGTCCCCATAGCAACACCTTTGATTTGGAGAAAGTGAGAGGAGTTAAAGGAGAAGTGAGAACATATTCAAAGTGAGAACAAGCTTTGCTGGGTGAAGGAAGTTGGTGATGGATGGAAACTGTGTATGCCTCTTTTCAAAGAAGAAGTGGTCAGCCATCAGACCATCCAAATGGGGCATGGATATGTAGAGGAATTGCATATCTACAGTGAGAAAGAGATGGCTAGCACCAGAAAACTGGAATATAAAGCCTGAGAAGAATCATGCATATAAGTGGGAAGAGACCGAACAAGGGGGTAAGAAGTAGAATCGAGATGGGAAGAAATAAGTTCAGTGAGGCAGGAACAGACTGAAATGATGGGTCTGCCAGGCGAGTCCTGTGTATGAATTTTGGGAAGGGGGTAGAAACAGATCATGTGGGATTGGTGGCGATGAGGTGAAAAGCTATGGAGATCCCCAGAGAAAATGAGTTCCATGACAGTCCTGGCAACTACAACTTGATGTTCAGTAGAGGGGATCACGATCCAGGTGGAGATAGAAGATTGCAAATACCAGTCTTTAACCAATTCAGTTCACTCCACCTCATATCAAGAAACGGTTGGAGGCACTGAATACTGCAAAGGCTATAGGCCCTGACAACATTCTGGCAATAGTACTGAAGACTTCTATTCCAGAATTCACCGCTCCCGTAGCCAAGCTATTCCAGTACAATTACAACACTGGAATCTACGTCACAGTGTGGAAAATTGCCTAGGTATGTCCTGTACATAAAATGCAGGACAAATCCAACCCAGCCAAATATGCCCCATTAGTCTATCTTGATCATCAGTAAAGTGATGGAAGGTGTCATCAACAGTGCTATCAAGCTACACCTGCTCAGCAATAACATGCTCAGCGATGCCCAGTTTGGGTTCCGCCAGGGCCACTTAGCTCCTGATCTCAGTACAGCCTTGGTTCAAACACGGACAAAAGAGCTGAATTCCAGAGGTGACCTGACAGTGACAGCCCTTGACATTTAGCCTGTCTTTGACCGAGTGTGGCATTAAGGAGCTCAAGCAAAACTGGAATCAATAGGTATCAGGAGCAAACTCTTCACTGGTTGAAGCCATACCTAACACATAGGAAGATGGTCATGGTGTTGGAGGTCAGTCATCTCAGCCTCAGGACATTTCTGCAGGAGTTCTTCAGGGTAGAGTCATAGGCTCAACCATCTTCAGCTGCTTCATCAATGACCTTCCCCCCATCATAAGGTCAGAAGTGGGGATGTTTGCTGATGATTGTAGAATGTTCAGCACAATTCAGAACTCCTAGAAACTGAAGCAATTCATGTTCAAATGCAACAAGATCTGAACACAGCCAGGCTTGGGCTGAGAAGTGGCAAATAACTTTCATGCCACACAAATGCCAGGCCATGCCATCTCAAATAAGAGAAATCTTACCACCAACTCTTGATATTTGATGGTGTTGCTTTTATTCAATCCCCACTATCAAATACTTTGGATTACCACTGATCAGAAAATCAACTGGACTTGCCATATAAATGCAGTGGTTACAACAGCAAGTCAGAGGCTAGGAATACTGCGGCGAGAAACTCACCTCACTCCCCAAAGCCAGTCTGCCATCTGCGTGGCATTAATCAGGAGTGTGATGGAATACTCCCCACTTGCCTGGATGAGTGCAGCCCCAATAACACTCAAGAAGCTTGACACCATCCGGGACAAAGCAGCCCACTTGATTGGCACTACATCCACAAGCATTCACTCCCTCCACCAAGATGCACAGCAGAAATTCATCAAACATCCACAGACAGCACTTTCCAAACACACGAGCACTTCCTCCTAGGACAACAGCAGCAGATACATGGGAACACCGCAGCCTGCAAGTTCGCCTCCAAGCCACTCATCATCCTGACGTGCCATTCCTTCAGTGTTGCTGGGTCAAAAACCTCGAATTCCCTCTCTAAAGGAATTGTGAGTCAACAGCATGTGAACTGCAATGGTTTAAGAAGACAGCTCACCACCATCTCAAGGGCAATTAGCGACAGGCAAGAAAAGCTGGCTAGACAGCAATGGTCACGTACCATGAGTGAATTAAAAAAAAATAATGTGGAAAAATTTGAGATTATCCACTCTGGTAGAAAGAACAGATGTGCACAGTATTCCTTAAATGGTAAGGTGATTACAGAATGTAACTATCAGTCTTTGACATTCATTCATTACTATTGCTTAAACCTCCACTAACAACATCCTAGGGGTACCATTGAGAACAAACTGAACAGGCATAGCCCAATAATGCTGTGGTTACATAGCAAGTCAGAGGCTAGGAATTTTGCAGTGAATTCTTCACCCCCTAACTCCTCAAAGCCT